AGTACACAGAACAGAATACTTTAACTACAGGAGTACACAGAACAGAATACTTTTACTACAGGAGTAAACAGAGCAATCCTACAGTACTCCTCCAGGATATTTCCACTACATAAGTACACAGATGTACTAGATCTGTATATTATTCATCTTTAAAAGAGAAGAACAAGAACAAGTCCAGGTTTCTGTTTAGTAGCGTCCTGTATGTAGCGTCGTCATCTCGTTTTTTTGACTCAAACACACTAAAACTGACTAAACACACTAAACTACATCTCAACTATAAAACCCAAACACGGAAAATATCACAAATCTCTCAAACCTCATGACTCACTCCTGCTCTTGTGACTTTATCACACTGAACTCTATTCATCTTATTCTTTTTCCTGGAGATTTTTTGGCGCTTAACAAATACGTTTGAGACGCCATCAAAAAAAAAAGGGGGGGGGGGGTGTCTTTTCGGGGGGGGGGGGAGGTGAAATTGGAGGGTGAATGGGGGGTTGTCCCTGAGACTGCTCGTCTTTGCTGCAAACTCTCTAACGTGCTTCAGATATGATTTTCAGGAAAAAGATGTGGCATGGATTATTTATCATAACTCTGGTTCTATTTCATCCATACTGACCGCCAGAGGCAGTGCTTAAAGCACTGAATGATCATTCTTGTGCATGCGCAGGTCGAGTATTTTATGCCAACATAGTCACGTGTGACACCCGGGACACCGGTGAGTCTAAATAAGCACGTGACAACGGATGCCCAGTCCCTTTCATCTTCTCGCATGCAGGTTGTAAGAGGTTTACTTTTTCTGCTTGACACTGGTAGCCTCGAGACTACGGTCGGAGCTGCGGAACTGTCTCGCCCTCCAGAAGCTGCACAAGCTGGTATCCTCTAAACGATTGTACTTCAACTAGTAAGTTGTTTTGTTTCTGTTGACTCGGCGGTAGCGCGTTCGCTAGCCGCATTGGGTTTCCTTATTGAGAAGTACAGCATTTAGCTGTTTTTTTCGTTAGTTTACAGAAAGCATTGCTGTACACTGCAGCCGTTTTTCGTGCTTGCATTTCCTTGAGCCATAAGATGCTAGATGTGCAGTGCTGCAGAGTCTGTTTGGCCCCTCTCCAGTTGGAGGATGGACATGATCTGTGCCCCCCTTGTTTGGAGCCGGATCATCTGAGGGAGGCCTTGACGGAAGCGGCCTGTCCCAACCGTTCCATCCTTGTCCCTGCAGGCAGCTCGTTTGGCTGGTTCTGAGATTGAAAATGGTATACACACAAAAGTGGAAGGTCTTCAGCAACTGGTGTCGAGCCAGACATGAAGACCCTGTACACTGTACGCTTTCTGTTATTCTTACTTTCCTTCAGGCACTACTTTCTCAGGGCTGGTCTCCATCCACTGTGAAAGTTTATGTTGCTGCCATCTCTTGCTGGCATACGGTGGTGGGTGGGGAGACAGTAGGTCATAACAAGGATGTATCCTTGTTTCTGAGAGGCACCAGACGTTTGCACCTCCCCCACACACACACACACACATGCCCGTCATGCCTGTGTGGGACCTCTCTCTGGTCCTCGCTGCCCCGAGGTCTGCTCCATTTGAGACCTTGGCGGACATGAGCCTCGAGTGCTTGTCTAAGAAGACTGCGTTTCTCCTGGCCATGGCGTGGGCCGAACGAGTAAGTGAACTACACACGCTGTCTGTTCACGAGCACTGTTGCCGTTGGAACCCGGCTGGTTCGGGTGATGCACTCTGGCCTAACGTAACGTTCCTCCCTAAGGTGGCCTCATCTGCGACCCACTCTCTGCCTCTCCAGCTTGCTCGCTTCGATGCAGATGGTGCTGACGAGCCTCTCTGCCCTGTTCGGGCACTGGAAGTGTACATCAGATGGACAGCTTCTCTGCGACAGTCTGATAATATGTTCATTTGCTATGCAGGGCCTCAGAAAGGGCAGGCCCTTTTGAAGCAGTGCCTTGCGCACTGGATTGTGGATGTGGTGGAACAGGCGTACACTCTGCAGGGCCACCAGCCACCTGTAGTCAGAGTCAGAGTCTCTTTATTGTCATTCGCACCTCATGTGGTACATGTGGTGGAGCGAAATTATGTACACAAGGTCCCAGTTACAGTTATCGTACCCTGTAGGGGTACGATGCCATTCCACCAGGAGCATTAGCATGTCTTGGGCCACTATGAATGGGGTCGCTCTGGAGGCGATATGTGCAGCAGCCTCCTGGTCACTCCCAAATACCTTTGCTAGATTCTACAGGGTAAGCCTGGCTGCCTTTCACCTGTTGGAGGGGATCCTATCAGAGCACCCATCTTGGTCTCAGTAAGGTGGGCATACTTAATTTGTTTCTTCTTGTGGGTGTGATTCCTCAGGACTCTGTCGGCAATCGTCATCCAGTGCTTTAAGCACCGCCTCTGGTGGTCATCCGGGATTCATAGAACTGTAGTTACAGCCGTAGCTTTCATTTTACTCGGTCTATCCACATGATTTAAAACCTGGTGTGTAGTTTAAAGTATGTACTTTCGACAAATTAAAATGGAGTCTCTTAAAGGCTGTGTCTTTCGTGCAAGAGCGACTGAAATCAGTCATGTGACTATCATGCTATGGTGCATCAACAGAGTAGGCAGCAAAATCGTAATCTATTATTGATGGTAGAATATATAAAGTTCACACAAGTAGACGGAAAAGATGGCAGATTGGCTTTCCTGGACTGTGAGGTCTCAGTCTCTGATAGAGGACATTTGCAAACCGAGGTGTACCGCAAACCCACCCACACAGACCAGTATTTGCAGTTTGACTCCCATCACCCTTTGGAGCACAAGTTAGGAGTCATCAGGACTCTGTACCACAGAGCAGACAGCGTCCCCACTAACTCAGGAGCCAGGCAGAAGGAGAAATCCCACACAAGACAGGCTCTAGAGCAATGTGGATATCCTAACTGGGCCTTCCTGAAAGCAGAGAAGAAACCCAAACAAGACTCCAGTCAGCCAACAGGTGAAAAGGAGGAACCCAGACCCAGACCAGTGGTCATTCCATATGTTGAGGGAGTATCAGAGAAACTGAGACGTTTATTTTCTAAACACAACGTCCCAGTGGCGTTTAAACCCCAAAATACATTACGGCAAAGACTGGTTCAACCCAAAGATCCAGTCCCCCAGCACATCAGAGTAATACTGTGTATGCTGTTCAGTGTCAGGAGGGTGATCAGTCTTACATCGAGGAAACTAAACAGCCACTGACCAAAAGGATGGACCAGCACAGAAGAGCAACATCATCAGGCCAGGACTCTGTGGTCTACACTCATCTCCAGGCCAGCGGTCACTCTTTCAAGGATGAAGATGTTCACATCCTGGATAGAGACTAATGATGGTTTGAAAGAGGAGTAAAGGAGGCCATCTTTGTGAAAATAACTCATTCAGAGGATCCAGTGTTATTTATGTTATGACTAGATGATCACAGGTCTCTTGTAAACGAGTCCTCGTGGCTCAATGAGACCAACCTGTGTAAATAAAAGTTGAATGAATGATCACTCCTGCATATTATTTTTGTTTCATTTCTGAACTTTAATAATTGTGTTGCTATTTTGTGAAGTGCCTTGATGGTGCTACGACAATAAATTCCCCTCAAAGATTAATAAAGTCAGTCAGTATGTCTGTTAGAGTTGCACTTGGGCCTAAAAACTCTGACCCGGCATGGCCCAAACCCGTATAATTTTTTTCCGAGCCCGACAAGAAACCGACCAATCAAGTGTGATTACAGGCCCAAACTCGAAAAAAAATAGACTTTTTTTTTTATTAAGCTTTTACTGCTTTTGTAAGCAAATCAGTTTGACATGATTTAAAAACGTATTTCAAAGAAAGGAAGATAAAAGATTTATTGTTTATTAACAAGAGCCAGCCGATTATTATAATATTATAGTTATAGTTATTAAGGATCAGTGGACACGCGCAGCTGATGATCCAAATTGGGTCATCGACTGCACACGTCCACTGATGCAGCAGCTGAGTCCAGTTAAGCTTCAGGTGGGTCGCTGGCAGTGGTCCATCTGTGCATTTTTTACTTCTTTCAACCGGCTATGTACAGCCGGTGATCCAAATTTGATTGTCAGTAGCGCGTGTCTACTGACGCAATAAAAAGCCCGACCCCAGCCTGCCCATCCAGCACATTATTTTGGCCCGGCCCGAATTTCGGGTTGGGCCGGGCATGGGCCCAAGTTAGTAATGACAGCTCTATCATCTGTCCATCCACATCAGCACCACAGGTTGTGGTCATGTGACCCAGCGCATACAGTAGTAATTGTGGGTAGGATCATGTGACTCACAGCGCCAGTATCATGTCCTCCTGTATCCTCTGCAGCGCGTCAAGCAGCGCCGGTACTGCGTGACGTCGATGTTCATCCTGATGCATTCGGGCACCGCACACTGCCAACACATACTGATTATGAACGTTGTGAAGCTTCGCTGTAGCTTTGTCGTAACGGTCCCGAGCACGCTCAGCCTCACGGCCTGTGACCGGATGGGACAGGATGAGCAGGATTCAGTGAAGCAGAAAATAATGCGATCAAAAAACATCTGTGGTGTGGCGAACACAAACCTTTGGCCAGAGCCTCACGGTACTTTTCTTTGGCGTTGTTGGCATCACGGCTCAGCTGACGATATGTAGTCTTCAGCTTCTCAAGCTCACTTTTGGTTACCTAGCAACAACAAAACCAGTTGGACCAGCAGACAACTGAACTATAATCTGTCCCTCGAGTGTTTCCCAGCATACCTTGTGGTTGAGGGTCTCCAGCTGCTGATGAAGACCCTGGTAGCTTTTCTTCACCTGTTGCTTGTCTCGGATGAGTGTGGCAAGGCGGTGAAGCGGACCAGAGTTCAGATCATCGGCATGACTTTTCATGATGCGACCCAACACCTCCGTCTGATGGATCACCTGAGACCACGACTGAAAGACGCAACCACAGTAAGACCAGAATACCTAACAACCCTCGCCCCCCACAGGTAAGCAGTTTACCTTGCTGACTGTGCTGACATAGTCAGCAGCTTCCTGTTTCTCTGTTTGCTGAGTCATGCTGAGCAGCAAGGCAGCATATTCTTTATCGCTTTTCACCCGCAGCGTCATGAAGCGCTTTACTGTCTCCAGCAGCTAGAGGGTGCAACAGTCAAAGCGTTAGAGTGACAGGAAGTGACGTCAGAGAAGAAAAACAGAGCCATCTTTTAGTAATGTTTCTATTTATTTGTGTCGGGATGTGAGATGCGAGAAATGCAGCTTTCATGGATGTTTGAATTTGATCACATTGATGTTTCCTGACATGGTACCTGTGGTATGTCATCCTCTATGTCTCTCAGGTGTATTAATCAAATGATGGGGTGTTCAGGAGCAAACAGAGAACATACTGTCCTCGGAAGGCCAAAACTAACCAGCAGCACATTAATCTCACTGCTGCTCACATCACGCTCATCTGTGAATGGGTTTGAAACGTTCATCTTCAGTTTAACAAGTTTATCCTCTGAGTTTTCCACTCAGAACAGTCTACCATGAGAACAAAACAGGCTGCTGTTCTATTTCATCCCTACTGACCACCAGAAGCGGTGCTTAAAGCACTGAATGATCATTCTTGCGCATGCGCAGGTCGAGAATTTAGGCCAACATAGTCACGTATGATGCCCGGGACACCGGTGAGTCTATACAAGCACGTTACAACGGTAACCCAGTCCTTTCATCTTCTTGCATGCAATTGGTAAGAGGTTCACTTTTTCTGCTTGGTGCTGGTAGCCTCAAGACTATGGTTGGAGCTGCGGGACTGTCTCGCCCTCCAGAGGTTGCACAAGCTGGTATCCTCTAAACGATTGTACTTCAACTAGTAAGTTGTTTTGTTTCTGTTGACTTGGCGGTAGCGCGTTCGCTAGCTGCATCGGGTTTCCTTATTGGATGGAAGAGCAGCGTTTAGCCGTTTTTCCTTAGTTTACAGAAAGCATTGCAGCCGCGTTCATGCTTGCTTGTTTTCAGTTGCGGGTATAGCAGCCGTGTTCGGCTTCGCCCACCTTTACCTGTTCGGGCTCGCACTCGTATTGTACAGCTGCGTCCGCTTGCTGTTTGTTACGTTGCAGCCGTTTTTGCACCTGCCTCTCATTTACATAGTTACAGCCGTGTTCGGCTTGACTGTTACACTGCAGCCGTTTTTTGTGCTTGCTTTTCATTTACATAGTAACAGCCGTGTTTGACTTGACTTAATTTGTTACACTGCAGCCGTTTTACGTGCTTGCATTTCCTTGAGATGTGCAGCCGTGATGGGCTTGCCTTTTTTCATTATAGTGCAGCCGTGTTCGCGCTTGCATTTTTTCATTATAGTGCAGCCGTGTTTGTGCTTGCATTTTTTCATGAGTTGTGCAGCCATGTTCAGCTTGCCTCCCTTTCTTTAATTGCAACCGTGTTCGTGTTGCATTTTTTACTTGTGGCTCTACGGCAGTCGTAGTACTTCTGGCTGCTTTTATAAGCTAGCAGTTGGGGAACCCCTGGTGGCGTTTTCTGTTCGACCGGGTTCCCTGGTCCATTCACTCATCAACTCCAGCGTCAAGAGTGGCGTTTCCTGCTCGACCTGAAGCTTCTAGTCCTGTGAGCCGTAAGATGCTGGACGTGCAGTGCTGCAGAGCCTGTTTAGCCCCTCTCCAGTTGGAGGATGGACATGATCTGTGCCCCCCTTGTTTGGGGCTGGATCATCTGAAGGAGGCCTTGATGGAAGCGGCCTGTCCCAACTGTTCAGTTCTGCCCTTGTCCCTACGGGTACCTCGTTTGGCTGGTTCTGAGATTGCGAGCCAGCCTGTAAAGCGTGTGGCCCCAGAGACCTTGGGGCCTCCACGAAAGAGGACCAACAAAAGCTCCAGGGGCTCAGGGGGACTATCTGGGCAGGTGGCCATCTCACCTCTGAGCTGGAACAGATGAAGGCACTGCTCGAGTCCTTGAGGGAAGGGGGCAACGCAGGTCTGACAGGGGACCCTGACCTGGGACAGAACATGGGCTCAGGGATCTCTGCTTTTGAAGAGGCTACCATCTCCCTGGCAGCATCCAGAACTGATTTTCAAAAGCAGTTTGAGTCTGGGTTGTGTATGTCGACTGCCAGTTCGCATACCTCCTCCTGCTCTCAGCCAAAGGACAGTTCCATAGTGGAAGCTTTGAGAACTGCTCTTGCTCGGTTGCACTTGGATGTCCCAGAGCCAGATATCTCCCGCCCTTATAAAGGCAGGAGAGCTCGGAAATGACATTTGGAAGCAGGCGGTGGGACACTTTACCCAATTTCAGCTTAAATGCTGGGCCACTCTCGTGCCCGATTCTTGGGATGTGTCAACATTATCTCGGGGCTACATGCTACAGTTCCGCTGCCGCCCTCCCATTCTTGGTCAGGTCAGAATAACGGTCATTCACGACCAAGTGAAAGCTCAGGCACTGAACTACGAAATAGACGCCTTGCTGGCCAAAGCTGCTATAGTGCTAGTCAACCCCCTGCAGGATCCAGGGGGCTTTTACTCAAAGTATTTTTTAGTCTCAAAAAGACTGGTGGACTACGGCCAAGTCTGCATCTGAGAAGCCTGAATGTGTTTTAAAAAAACTATTCCTTTCCACATGTTGAGCATCAGATGCACTCCAGGCAGTCTCTCCAGGCAACTGGTTCACCTTGGTCGACTTGAAGGATGCATACTTTCAAGTACCGATTGCGCAGCACCATTGGCAGTTTCTCCGCTTTGCATTTCAGGGCAAGCATTTTCAATTCAGAGTTCTTCCATTCGGTCTTTCTCTGTCCCCCCGTGTGTTCACCAAGTGTGTGGCAGCAGCCTTGTACCCTCTGCAGGTCAAGGGGTTGAAGATCCTGCCCTACTTGGACGATTGGATGATCTGTGCGCCAACACAAGCTTCGGCAGCTGCAGACACACAGATGGTGCTCGATCAAATAGACTTATTGGGTCTTCGTGTGAACTGGCAGAACAGCAACCTAATTCCCTCTCAAGAGGTCACGTTCCTGGGAACTACGATGAACTCCCTCACCATGGTGGCTTGCCAGTTGCCACAGCGTGTCAGCAAGATTCTGCAGATGCTGCCCGCCTTCCTGCCCGGCCATGCACCCCCACCTTCATTGCGCACCTTCGCCTGTTAGGCAAGCTGACTGCTGCCTCCACAGTGGTACCTCTGGGGCTGTTGTCTCTGCGCCCTCTACAGATGTGGCTCAACAGCCTGCGGCTGGATCCAACTCGTGCAGTGCACAGACGCAGGAGGTTGCTGATGTCCCCTCAATGCCTCGCGTCACTGGCTGAGTGGCGAGATACAGTGTTTATGGTGAAGGGGGTCCCACTGGGCTCTTTGCCATCTCAGAGGGAGGTTGTTTGTACCGATGCATCCACCACAGGTTTGGGGGGGGCATCGTGGCAGTGACAGATTGTACAAGGAACGTGGTCTCCATAGCAAAAGGCGACGCACATCAATGCCTTGGAGCTGGATGCTGTGCGGCTGGCACTAAAACCCTTCCTCCCAGGCCTGAGCGAGAAGCATGTCCTGGTGCGGTCCGTCAATACTTCTGTGGTTTTTCATGTCAACCATCAAGGGGGAACACGGTCGCTGACGTTGCTGCTACTGACCCAGAAACTCTTACTTTGGGCAGCCCCCCTCTTTGCCAGCCTGAGGGCCACCCACATTCCAGGAGTGCGGAATGGGCTGGCCGATTTTCTGTCTCGGGGACGCCCACCACCTGGGGAGTGGAGGCTCTATCTGGAGGTGGTGAGGGTAATTTGGGAGAGGTATGGCAAGGCAGCTGTGGACCTGTTTGTATCTCAAGAGACAACATACTGCCCACTTTGGTTTTCTCTGGTAGGCAGTGCCAGTCCCCTGGGTCAGGACACACTGGCACATGACTGGCACAGGGTGCTGCTGTATGCTTTCCGCCACTTCCCCTGATAGGCCCAACTCTCCTGAGAGTCCTTCAAGAGGGGCATCAAGTCCTCCTGGTGGCTCCCCTCTGGCCCAGGAGAACTTGGTTTCCACTGCTGCACAGGCTCTGTTGCAGCTCTCCAATGCCTCTACCCCACAGGAAGGACCTCCTGTCACAGTTGGGGGGGGGGGGGTCAACTCCTGCAACCCATTCCCAGTCGCCTCCGGCTGCTACACGGCCCGGCATTACCTTCTCAGAGTATGATGGGGAGATAGCACATACAATGAATAACGCCAGGGCCCCTTCCACATGACTGTTGTACACACATAAGTGGAAGGTCTTCAGCAACTGATGTCGTGTCAGACATGAGGACCCTGTGCACTGTCCTCTTTCTGTTATTCTTACTTTCTTTCAAGCGCTAGTTTCTCAGGGCCGGTCTCCATCCACCCTGAAAGTTTATGTTACTGCCATCTCTTGCTGGCATATGGTGGTGGGTGGGGAGACAGTAGGCTGTAACAAGGATGTATCCTTGTTTCTGAGAGGCGCCAGACGTATGCATCCCCCCACACGCCTCTTTGTGCCTGTGTGGGACTCTCTCTGGTCCTCGCTACCCTGCGGTCTACTCTGTTTGAGACCTTGGCGGACGTGAGCCTTGAGTGCTTGTCTAAGAAGACCGTTTTTCTCCTGGCCATGGCTTCGGCCAAACGAGTAGGTGAACTACATGCGCTGTCTGTTCACGAGCACTGTTGCCGTTGGAACCCGGCTGGTTCGGGTGTTACACTCTGGCCTAATGTAACGTTCCTCCCTAAGGTGGCCTCATCTGCGACCCACTCTCTGCCTCTCCAGCTTGCTCGCTTCAATGCAGATGGTGCTGATGAGCCTCTCTGCCCTGTTCGGGCACTGGAAGCGTACATCAGATGGACAGCTTCTCTGCGGCAGTCTATGTTAATTTGCTATGTAGGGCCTCGCAAAGGGTAGGCCCTTTCAAAGCAGTGCCTTGCGCGCTGGATTGTGGATGTGGTGGAACAGGCGTACACTCTGCAGGGCCGCCAGCCACCAGTAGGGGTACGATGCCATTCCACCAGAAGCGTTGGCGTGTCATGGGCCACGATTAATGTTGTCACTCTGGAGGCAATATGTGCAGCAGCCTCCTGGTCAAGTCAAGTCAAGTCATCTTTATTTGTAGAGCACAATTTAAAACAGATAAACTGTTATCAAAGTGCTTATCTGTGATATCTTATCTTATAAAGTGCTTGGTCATCACCAAATACCTTTGCCAGGTTCTACAGGGTAAACCTGACTGCCTTTTACCCGTTGGAAGGGATCCTATCACAGCACCCATCTTTGTCTCAGTAAGGTGGGCACACTTAAATTTTGTTTCTTCTTGTGGGTGCGATTCCTCAGGACTCTGCTGGCAATGGTCATCCAGTGCTTTAAGCACCGCCTCTGGCGGTCAGTAGGGATGAACTAGAACGAAAGCTACGGCTGTAACTATGGTTCTATGAATCCCTGATGACCCCCCAGTCATCAGGGATTCGGTCGGTCCCTCGGAATCATCGCATTTCGCGAGAAGATTAAGGGACTGGGCTACCGTTGTCACGTGCTTATATAGACTCACCGGTGTTCCGGGCGTCACACGTGACTGTTGGCATAAATTCTCGACCTGCGCATGTGCAAGAATGATCATTTAGTGCTTTAAGCACCGCCTTTGGCGGTCATCCGAGATTCATAGAACCGTAGTTACAGTCGTACCTTTCGTTCTTTCTGCTGAAGCTCCAGCAAATACAACAACTGCTTATTATTAATCATTACATTTTAGGAAAGAACATATAAAAACGTCTTATATTAACAGTTGTTTTGGAAACTTTTATTTATTTATATGTTTTATCAACCAGTACATTTAATTTGAGCCAAGTTTTAAATCTGCTCCTGAACAGCAGCTGAGATTGAGCAAACATGAGAATCTCTAGTCGTACCTTTATCTCCCAGTCCTGCAGCTTCAGCAGCCCCTCGTGGGAATTGGTGAGATCCCGACCGAAGCCCATTTTGAAACAGTGTGCCTGTCTCTAACAGTGGTCCTGATGACAGGCGGGTAATTGCATGGTCGGCTGAGGAAACACACAGACTGGTTTCAGAGCAGCTGGAGTCTGATTACAGTGAATGATGAACACTAATGACAACTACTTTAATTATAAATATATGCTGTCATTCTAAAATTCAATATTCAACCTTATTTATACGGGATAATCCCACTGAGCCTCCGGGATTCATTTACAAGAGAACTGAATAAAATTCATTAAGATTGAACTGATTGTCCAAAGTCGACATAAAACCCTTAAAGTCTGAATTGTTTTATTCAGTTTAAAGTGAGCGTGCTAATTTGATGTGGATAAACTTTAACCTGAAGTGAACAACATAATAAGTTATGTTTATGTAACATAAAGTTTCCTGTCTGACTGCTGGCTCCAGGTTTAATAACTTCATTAAAACAAGCTCAAGCACCATGATCTGACACAAGCCGTCACGTTTGAAAAGAACTCCGTCAGTTTACACTAACACATCAGAACTCCCTCCCATTACAGCTCGGAACCAACAGACTCTAGCCGGACTGGGACTCGGTGTTTTCGGGTCGCTCCGAGTCTCAGAACTTCTGAAATCCTCTTGGAGAGCGTCTGAAGCTAGGCTAACGTTAGCCGCTGAGCCTCATTCAAACTAATGTAGTCTGAGGCTAGCATGCTAACAGCTAGCTGCAGCGCCTCCAGAGTTTTACTAATAAAAACTAAACCTCAGCCCGTCCAGAACCAGCTGCTGCTCTCAGCCCGTCCAGAACCACAGCAGCAGCCCGATCTGGAGGAGGACTGAAAGTTCGGGAGTTGTTTTTTTTTTTCCCCACAACTTCACGGCGGCTTTCTTCTGGATTTACGAACCTGAAACCTTTTTTTTCCGGCGGTCAAGTGGCTAAATGGTCACCGCGGTTCTCTGCGACCCGCCTCTGGACTCATGTCACCCTCTTTTCGGTGTTTTTCTCCTCCGTTTCCCGGTTTCTCCTCCTGCCGTCCGGCTTCGGAGCTAGCAGCTAACAGGGAGGGGCTTCCGCGGGAAACGGAAATCGGTGGGGAGGGGGAGGGGCGGGGTCAGCGTCCCTTGAAAAAAACAAACGTTATCAAACAAATAAAATAGAAGTCGCACATTTACGAGAGCTGCGGTGTTGGAACAGAAGCCGAAAACAACCAAACCCTTCAAAAAGTTTGAAAACAAAGTGGATCTGCAGTTGATGTTTCTCCTCCATGCAGGAGTTCATGGTTCAGAACTTCACCTACAGAACAGAAATCCTTTGTTTTTAACAACCTTTTATATTTACCATGTCCCAAGATAATCTACATGACTATCATCTTATATTTGTCATTTATTTATTCGTGTAATTATTTACTTATTTGTGTTGGGTTAGACTCGGGGAGTGGTGGCGCAGAGGTTAGAGCAGGTGGGCATGTGATCAAAAGGTTGCCGGTTAGACTCCCCGGACCGACAATGTGGGTGAGCATGGTGAAGCATACTCACCTGCCTCCAGCCTTATCTGGGGCCTTCACCTCCACCATCTGCTCCCCTAGATGGCAGCTGCTTCACGCAGAGGGGTGTGGTAGCTCAGTGGTCTGTGGCTGTGTCAGAAAGGGCATCTGGCATATAAAAAAAAAGCCAAGTCTTCGTGCGAGTTAGTTCTCTGTGGCGACCGATGGAGAAGGGAGCAGTCGGATAAAGAAAAAGTGTAATTATTAGACACATGCTAATTCTAAACCAGACACTAAGGAGCACAAGCCAGTGTATCTCTTGTGCCATTTCTAAGCCCAGGAAAATACCATACCAATTTATTTATAGAGCACTTAAAACAGCAACAAGGCCAACCAAAGTGCTGTACAAAAGAAAACAAACATGCACAGCGGACAGGAAAACATAAAATAGAAATACAGATACAAATAGCAGCAGAAGCTAACTAAAATGGCCAACAGTGTAGAGAACAGACAGGACCAAACAAATCACACCGTGTTAAAGGCAAGAGAATAGAAGTGGGTCTTCAAGCGAGACTTAAAGACTGAGAGTGTGGAAGCCTGCCGGACACTCAGTGGCAACTCATTCCACAGTCGTGGACCTGCAACAGAGAAAGCCCTGTCACCTCTGAGCTTACGACGGGTTTCTGGGACTGAGAGAAGCATCTGGTCTGCTGACCTCAGAGAGCGCGGTGGGACATATGGCTGCAGAAGACCACTGAGATAGGATGGGGCGGAACTGTTCAGTGATTTAAAAACATACATGAGAATTTTGAAACGGATCCGAAGGTGAATGGGTAGCCAGTGCAGGGAGGCCAAAACTGGCGTGATGTGCTCTCTATAGCCTGTACCGGTTAAAAATCGGGCTGCAGCATTTTGGACCAGTTGTAGACGAGCAATGGAGGACTGACTGATTCCAAACAGAAGTGAATTGCAGTAATCAAGCCTAGATGTTATGAAGGCGTGGATCACTGTCTCAAGGTTCTTCTTGGAGAGTATAGAGAGTATAGAGAAAATGGTGACAGTTGTGTCAGAAGACCATCTGACATGAAACACTTTTGCCTAAACTAACATGGGAGTTTATCCAAGCAACACCGACACCAGCGCTGTTGACAAACAGTGCCCTCAGAAATGTAGGACTGTGTGGCAACTCTAAACATAAAAACAATGACAGGCAAAGGTAGAGAGCTGGCTGACATGATGCAGAGAAGGAAGGTAGATGGTTTATGTGTCCAAGAGGCCAAGTCAGTGGTTAATTTGAGCCGGAACAAGATCTGGGAGCTCTCTCATTTTGACTGCTCGGATCCAGCAACTCCAATCTCTGCCTCGAAAAGTCCAAATTCATCGCACATTTTTATTTTGATTATTTATTAAAAATACGAGAGGAGACGTTGCCCAATCAGTAGAGTGGATGTTCCGGCCGCACCAAGCTCCTGCCCAGCAGAGATGCAGACTGCATGTCCCGCGGGGAACGTCTTCATCCACCTTCAGCTGTGCAGACAGTTGTTTTATGCACAGCGTCTCCAGACAGCTCTGCAGGACGCGTGCACAACTGCTGTCGGAACTCCTGCATAACATTTCAGACATAATAAATAAGTTTACAGTAAAAAAATAAATAAATAAATGTTTGATTTGTATTATTCACATTACATCATGTGTCAAAACAACAGCACTAATTTGTCAAAATAACAGATCAAAATGTTGAAAAGACCATTTATTATCTAAAATAAATGGATGGATGTCCTTAGCCGGACAACAGAGAATTGAAGCATCTGAAGGCAGTGGTAATCGAGACTGGAGCAGAACAACGTGCAGGACTGAATTCTGCAGAGTTCGGGTCAGACAATGAAGTGTGTGTATGTGGGTGGGGTGTGGGGTTAGGACGCTTGACAGAATCGGAGCTTCATTCACACACAGGCTTGTTAATTGTTGTTGCTCTCTAAAATAGTAATTTCAATTCAACCTTTATTTATACAGGTTGTTAGTCTCTTTGAGCCTGGAGGACTCATTTACAACAGAGACCTGTTTTTAATCAGATCAATCAAATGTTTACATAAGTTTAACAACCTGTTAAAATACATCAAAATGCAGGAAATGGCATCTCTTTTATTCCAAACTTTCTGGGGGGAGGGACCAAAGGACTCCCCCCCCCCCCCCCCCCCCCCCCCCCCCTACCAAACCGCGTGCTGTTTGTGTTCCAGCATCAGTTGGATTACAAATTAAGCCCTGGACCAAGTGGAAGGGCAGCAAGGCTCGCAGCATTGGAGCAGGGTTCAAACTGTTTTATCATGGTGTGGATAGAAAGAGACATGGGGTAGGGGTGGTCCTGAAGGAGGAGCTGGCAAAGAATGTAGCAGATGTGAAGAGAGTGTCAGATAGGGTGATGTGCCTGAAGGTAGAAGATGATACTAAACATCGTCAGTGGTTATGCCCCACAGGTTGGATGTGATGTGGAGGAGAAAGATACATTTTGGAAAGATATGGATGAAGTGGTAGAGAGTATTCCCAGGGAGGAGAGAGTGGTGATGGGAGCAGACCTGAATGGACATGTTGGTGAAGGAAACAGAGGGGATGAGGAAGTGATGGGTAGGTTTGATGTCAAGGAAAGAAACCAGGGAGTACAGATGGTGATGGATTTTGTTAAGAGAATGGAAATGGCTGTAGTCAACACATATTTCCAAAAGGAGGCAAAGTGACCTATAAGAGTGGAGGAAGAAGTACGCAGGTCGACTACATTCTGTGTAGAAAAGGAAACCTGAGAGTGATTGGGGACTATAAGGTTTAACAACAGGGGAGAGCGTGGCCAGACAGCATCGGATGGTTGTGTGTAGAATGATTGTTGCTGTGAAGAAGAAAAAAAAAGTAAATTCAGAGAAGACGACCAAATGGTGGAAGCTGAAGAAGAAAGGATGTTGTGAGATATTCAGAGAGGAGCTGTTAAAGGCTCTGGGTCATGTGTCAAATTCAAGGCCTGGGGGCCAATTGTGTCCCTCGTTGACATCTTATCTGGCCCTCAAGATGATATGTGAAACATAAAATACTTATATCTCTAGATTTTTTTCAGTAATCTTTGATTATGATGTCAAAAGCACAACAGAGAACATAAAATGAGACCAATCAAACTCTCGTTGAGGAACCTGTGACCAAGAAAATATGTTGGGTATCTGATTTGAGTTAATGTAGATTCTGAAATTGGTCCTTAGTTTGAAAAAAGTTTTAATTTTGGCCCCCTTTTGTAAGTGAGTTTGACACCCCTACTCTAGGTGGTAAAATAGAGCTTCCAGATGACTGGACTACTACAGCAACAGTAATTAGAGAGTAGGAAGGTACTTGGTGTGTCATCTGGACAGAGAATGGATGATAAGGAAACCAGGTGAGGACGGAGTTTTCATGTTCTCTCCGTGATTCGTGGGTTTTACACCAGTTTCCTCCCACAGACCAAAAACATGCATGTTAGACTGATTGGTAACTCTAAATTGTCCCTATGTGTGAGTGAGAGTGTGAATGGTTGTTTGTCTCATTTGTCTCTATGTGTCCGTGTGATGGACTTGTAACCTGTCCAGGGTGTCGCCCACCTCTCGCACAGTGATGGCTGGACATGGGCACCAGCGACCCCCGTGACCCAAAATGGAATAAACGGGTAAAGAAAATGGATGGATGGATGGATGGAAACCTGGTGGTAGAATGGTGAAGTGCAGGAAACTTTTCAAAGAAAAAGGTTAGCCAAGAAGAAATATGACGGTGAGAGGACTGAAGAGAGGAGACAGGAATATAAGGAGATGGGACATAGAGCAAAGAGGCAGGTAACTTAGGCAAAGCAGAGGGCGTATGATGAGTTTAATGGGAGGCTGGACACCAAAGAAGGTGAGAAGGACTTGTACCGATTGGCAAGACACAGGGATCATGCTGGAAAGGATGTGCAGCAGGTTAGGCTTATTAAAGATAGGAATGGTAATGTTCTAACAAGTGAGGAGAGTGTGACGGGAAGATGGAAGGAGTACTTTGAGAAGCTAATGGATGAAGACAATGAAAGAGAAAGAAGAGTAGAGGTCATAGAAACTGTGGACCAAGAAGTGTGAAAGAATAGTGAGGGTGAAGTTCAGAAATCATTGAAGAAGATGAAATTTTATTCACCCTGGATATTGATGGGGAAATACTGAAAGAGTCAGAAAGAACTTATTTGTGGATTTAGAAAAAGCATATGACAGGTTGCCAAGGGAGGAGCTATGGTGTTTGAGGACATCAGGGCATGTTAGACTGGTACAGGACTGTAACTTGACATGCAGGAGGACATCAGGACATATTAGACTGGTACAGGACATGTATGAGGACAGCAGGACAGTGGTGAGATGTGCTGTAGGAGTGACAGATAGCTTTAAGGTGGAGGTGGGAGTGTATCAAGGATCTGCTCTGAGCCCCTTCTTGTTTGCTCTGGTGATGGACCGACTAACAGATGAGGTCAGACAGGATTCCCTGTGGACTATGATGTTTGCTGATGACATTGTATTCTGTGGTGAGAACAGGGAACAGGTGGAAGAGAACTTGGAGAGGTGGAAGTATGTA